TGTGATTGACACAGACTGTCAATCTCCCTCAGCGCTGCTCAGGGATGAAGCCGCTCAGTGATCCCTGAAGTCCTCAGGGGTAATTCACCACTCTCAGGCACTTAGCTATCCTGCCCTCAGGGTTGGCTATGGCGAATTAACCCTGTTCTCGCCACTTCCTGACAAGCGCCCTGAAAGGCTCGGTGCGCTTGCTCAGTACAAGCACTGAACTCTTGAATTTCGCCACTTGAAATCTTCTTCCCTGCTGACTCAGTACTGGGGAAGATAAATCGCCATGAAGCTCTCGCCAGTATGTCGCCGGATGAAGAAGATGCCCCAATTGTGCTCAACCCTCAGTGCTCCAATTCCAATCCCCCTCCGATACCAACTGTTATGAACTTGGTTGTCTAACGATTTTTATCGCCACTCGCACACAAACAGTCTCATACACGCCCATACATGCATAAGACAAGGGGGAGAGCCAAACTGCACACAGATCAAAGTATGTAGCGGAAGTTCAGCCATGCACAGATGGGGAGAAGACACTGCATGATTCTCACTCTTTGACAAACTCCCAACAACCAATCACAAGAAGAAACCTGTGAGGATAACAATTGGAATTCAAACTGATGAAGAGCCAATTAAACCAGATGTAGTTACAGAGTTTGTTCCAGTATCTCGCCACACTTAGAACCCACACTCCACTCTCTCTCCTACACCCAATTAGAAGCGCACAACCGAAACAGCCTCCCAGAGGCCAGCGCCAACCATCCAGATGAAGAACAGATCCGGCGATGAAGTCTTCAGTGCCGATGAACAACCCTGACGAAGAAACCGGCAGCTATGGCTGCCGCCAACCACAAACACTCGGTGAGGAGCCTCGATATAGCCTGGTCAGATGCAGATACCCTCAGGGGTAGATGCGCTGAGGATGCCCCAGCTCCGGCAACCTTCAGAAGGCCGGCTATGGCTGCCGTCCACAGCAAGGGTCTCATGATGCCGCCTGTAGACAATTGCCACCGCCAACTTGCTTGGCTTCTCCAAACGCTGCGTCGCGAAAATGAACAGCCAAAAGTCCCTAGCAGTCCTACGCTAACCGGTGCTACTGCTGCACTTAGGGCCGGTAACCACTCAGCCCCTACTGCTGTTAATCCCAGCTATTTTTAGAACAGCGGGCGGCCCTCAGTGCAAACCAAAAAACACAGCAAAGCACACACATACAGCGGTACACTGTACAACCTCGCAGTCAGTCTCGGCAGTCGAAATCAGCAAGTCATTGCATCTCTCTCTCTCTCTCTCTCTCTCTCTCTCTCTCTCTCTCTCTCTCTCTCTCTCTCTCTCACACACACACACACACTCACACACACACACACACA